TACAACACATTTGTCAGTTCAATGTTTTTCATGTGTACAATTTAGTGATACGAAATATACATCCATCATGTCAGGTTGATTGCTTTTAAAATTAAGAACAGAAAATATAAATTAAACCACTCTTAAACCTCTTAAATATTACCACTGTATAAATGTTGCAAAGGCACACATCAGGGAACACAGAGATATAAGAGAGCCAAACTTTGGAAACTCTATACAGCATTGTTAAGAGCAGACTCGATGGTACTTAATAACACAACAACAACATGGATAAAATAAGGGAGACATTTTAAAAAGAAATGAGAGTAGGAGACACATTAAAATAGAAAGGAGGAGAGAAAAAGACAGGGTGGAAGAAAACTAAATAGAGATAGATGAAAACGTTAAAGGAAAAATATACAATAAGCCAAAAGAAGGCTGAGACACATGGGAAAGAGAAAGACACAGTGAAAGAGGAAAAGCAATAAAGGGGCAGGCAAAGGGACAGAGAGAGGCTCAGTAGTTTAGTGATATTAGTTAGAGGCCACTAGATTTTGCAGCAAGTGACATGGGGTGAGGGCTATCCCTCATATCAGCATTTATTGCCTACAGCCCTTGAAAAGTTAATTATTTGGTTAACTAATATTTGTAGGTTTTCCACAGCTGCAAATCTCAAATATCTACAGGTTCTACTCAAAAGAGCATGGCCAAAGCAACTCAGGGAGTGTTCCTCAAATAATACTCCTTTAGGTTTGTTCTCATAGATATCCATATCAGTACTTCTTAGAGAGTTTGACATGAATTTCTAAAAGTATGATACGGAATACTGGGGTTTCTCAACTTACTTGATCACAGAAGCTGTCTTTTGCAAAGAATCTAAAGGAACGAGTGTTCTAAAGAACATGCTTTGAGCAACACTGCACTAGGAGGATATTTTTCTTTGAGCTTTATCAGCAGTGGCTGTAATTATAATACACCATAGGCAAAACCAAAAAACAAACAAACCTGTTGGAGTTTACTTGATTCCAATTCATAGTAACTCCGTAGGATAGGGTAGAACTATCCATGGCTATGATCTTCACGGTAGCTGATTACCTACCGTATCTTTCACTCCTGCGGAGCACTTGATGTGTTTGAACTACTAATCTTTTGGTTAGTTAGTAGCTGAGCTCTTAACCACCACAACACCAGGGTTCCTTCCCCAAAGGTGAAACATGAAATTAAAAAGCCTAGGGGGTTCTTCTCCCTTCAGCCAATATAGCTTCGCTTTTTTTTTTTAAATCTCACTTCACCTTTCATATTGCTTTAAAAGTTGTTTTCTGAGAAAAGCTCAAAGCTTATATTCTTACTCTTTATACTTCCAGCCCTTCCAATATATTTATCCTTATTAACACTATTCTAGACAATATTCTTCCTTCTTTACTAAACTTCTTCCACTATGATGAATGGTGGTTGGTTAGTAGTGTGCCAAGTGGAGTTGGTTGGTTCCAACTCATAGCAACCGTGTATAGGGTCTGTTGTTGTTGTTGTTAGGTGCCATTGAGTTGGTACTGACTCATAGCGACCTTATGCACAGCAGAAGGAAACATGTATAGGGTTTATTAGGCTATGAATCCTTATGGGGAACAGAAAGCCTCATCTTTCTCCCGTGGAGTAGCTGATAGTTTTGAATTGCTGACCATTGCTGTTAGGAATTGGATTTGTAAACACTAGGGTACCAAGACTTCTTGTCAATAAAGGCACTGTCATTTTGAGTCTCCTTGATATGGTGGTGATGGTGTGTCGTGGAGTTGGTAACAACTATAGTGACCCTGGATAGGGTTTTTGAGGCTGTAAAACTTTACGGGAGCAGAAAGCCTCATCTTTCTCCCACAGAATGACTGTAACCACTGTGCTATCAGAGCTCCTTTGAGTTCTGGTGTGGTGCTGTGGGTTAATGCGCTGGACTGCAAGGTTGGTTTGAACCACAAGGCTGATGGTTCAAGCTCACCAGCCATACCTTGGAAACCCTATACAGAGTCTCACTATGGATCGGAACTGACTAGATGGCATTTAATAACAGCTCCTTAATATAGCATTTAAAAATTTATCCTTATAAAATATAATATTGATAATAAAAAACCAATATTTAATGCTATGTTACAGTTCATAGTATGCTCACATATACATTATTTTTCTAAACATTTTTCACTTTGATTTTGTTCCTTTTTGGTTTTATGCAAGTAATTACTGTCGACTTCTTGTTGTTATTAAGTGCCATTGAGTCGATTGAGACCCATAGCAACCCTGTATAGGATTTCCAAGGAGCAGCTGGTGAGCTTGAGCCACTGACCTTGCAGTTCAAATGACTTTGCAATCTGACACATTAGCCCACAGCACCATACCAGGATGCCCACTGTCTACTAGCATATGTTAATTTGAACACTGAAACTAAGACTAATCATGATTGTTGTTATCAACTCAGTATTTTAATGTTCTGTAAAACATTTGTTTATGCTTTCAAGCTATACCATGAGCGGTTTAAAATAGGTTCCTTTTTATTGTTGTTGTTGTTAGTAAGTGCTGTTGAGTGAGTTCTGACTCATAAAACCTTGTATAGGGTTCTCAAGGGTGATTCAAACTGACCTTGTAGTCCAGTGCTTATCCTACAGCACCACACCAGGATTACTTTTTATCATTTTATATTTAATCTCCAATAAACGCCCAAATATGATGTTTACCACAAATTCCTAATGGCAGGAATGACTGATGGCAGGAACATATTTTCATGTGTTATTTTATTTCATGAGATAAAATGTACAAGGATATCTATTATTCAAAGTAAGAATCTATATTTTTTTTCTTGCATTATTATGAGGGTAACTGTCTGATTTTAATAATGTATGTAAAGTGAATGACTATTTACATTCTTCTTGTTGTTGTTAAATACTGTGGAGTCGGTTCTGACTCATAATGACCCTGCACAGGGTTTCTGAGGTTGCAAATCTTTATGGGAACAGAAAACCTTATCTTTCTCCTATGGAACAGCTGGTAGTTTCGAACCGCTGACCTTGAGGTTAGAAGCCCGATTCGTAACCACTATGCTACCAGCGCTCCTTACGTTCTTCTTAAAGGCATTAAAATAATTATTTAGTAGAAAGTTCTTTGACTTCTAACAAATGAACTCTTTTGGCTTTCTTGTAAAGTTGTAATATCTCTTTTCTTTTAAGAAAAGAATGAGACATTAAGATTTTTCAATTGTAGTTGCAATTTATAATTGTTAGACGTTTCAGAGGGAAAGAACATGTTTTTGTTATATTTATTTGGGATGGTAAAGCAAGAGCTATTTGTAAATGTTCTTTTCTTATCCTGAACTATCTCCAAGTTCATCTCTGAGATCACAGTGAGGGAATTTGTCATCAATTTTAGAATGGTGAAACTGTCAATCTTTAGCCTTTAACACCTGTACGAATGGCCTTAACTATCTTTCCATTTTATACATAGAAAAATTAAGGTTTAAGCAAGCTAAGCAGTTCACTTGTTATCTTTATGAATCACTGTCATAGCTGGGAATGGAAGCCAAAACTTAATGTTGGCTCATTCTCACAAATGTAGGCTGATCTCATTTGGAATGGACGCTGGCTGGAGTAAAGGGAAGCCATGTTTGGGAAGTCCCCTCATGGAGTACTGTATTTCACAAGGAGAGTACTTGCTGAAGATTGCAAAATGCTTGCTTAAGTGAGTTCCAGTTGATAATGCAATTTTTAAAAACCCAACACAAACCCACACACACACACAAAAACAACTATGTGAGATTTCCCCCTTTCTCAAAAAACAAATCCTAGAAATTTAAAAGGTGCTTTACATTTGGTTCCATCTTAACTATCCAAGAACTGTAGGTACACATTTTTTACTTTTTCTCTCACTGGCAAAACATGCATGCGTCGTTTTTGTGAAATCCTTCCTCCATGTTCCAAGTGAACATTTAAAATAAGACTATTCATTTGGATCTCTCGTTCTCTACGTAGAAATGGATTCTCTTTTCTACTACCACTCTCCCCACCCCAGAAGGTTAAGATAAAACAGGAAAAGTTCCTGACAAATTTCAACGTAAATCTCTTCTCCCTACAATAGTGAGAAACTAAGGGTGAGAAACTTACAAGAACAATTCAACCTTTCAAAACAACTTCGTCTGTGCCACCAGTGTCCAGGATATTACATCTAGTTGCTGTACAAGACACATTCCCTCGGGTCATGGCCCAGTATTTCCAATGCCCACATTCAGTGCTGGGCGGTGCTCACAGCATTACGGCATCCTTCTCCCTCAGAAAGATGACCTGTGTGCCCAGGCTGTGACCCGGCTTGGAGCAATGCTTGCTTTAAAGCTAAAGGATCCGTCACAAAACTGGGGATCCTATTAGGTTGTTCTCCCGGGCAGCTAGGAAGCTAAACCGCCCGGTTAGAGGAAGAAAGGGGTGTTTGTAGGTTATATTCTTACATTTAATGCTCTTCATACTTCCAGCCCTTCCAATATATTCATCCTTATTAACACTCAGCGCTGAACTGCGGACCACAAGGTCGGCAGCTCAAACCCACCAGCTGCTCCTCCGAAGTACTGTACAGGTTCGCTAGGAGTCGGAATCGACTCGACAGCACTTAACAATCAACAATAGTGGATGGGTGGCCCGGTCAGGATCCTTAGCGAGAGATACCAAGATTGGGAAAAAGACTGCAAGGGAGCCCAAGACTTGGGGATCAGGATACCGGCAGGGGCAGAAAGAGTTGAGGAAGAGGGGGTGGAATGTGTGACCAGAGTCAGGAGGGAAATAAAAGACGAAAAGGGGGCTCAGGAAAAATGGGCGCCAAAGAAAGAAGTGATAAACTGCGGAGGAGGAAGTCGTCCCTGGAAGAGGAGGGGCAAAGGGGAAGCGAGAAAGGAGAGTTTGCACTTTCGAGAGGGAAGGGAGTTCCCGGAGACCAAGGTCGGTCTGTGGGCTGGGGGCGGGGACACAGAGCACCCGGGGTAGGGGGGTCGGCCCTACCTGAACCGCTCCTGCCCCGCAGTGTCCCACAGTTGCAGCTTGATTCTCTTGCCCGGCTCGATCTCCAGCAGGCGGGAGAAGAAGTCCACGCCGACGGTGGGGTCGCAGGCGGGGGAGCGCAGTCCCGGGAAGCGGCCCTGAGTGAAGCGGTGCAGGAGGCATGACTTGCCCACGGTGGAGTCTCCAATCACGATGAGACGAAACTGGTAAATCCAGATGGTCTCCATCGTTCACGGGCCCACCCCGCCGATTCCTAGGCTGCCCCACCCACCCGCCACAGCGCCAAGTTCGGCGGCGGGAACTGTCCCTTCAGCACCTCCTGGGCGCTTGCCAGTCGGTTTCCAGCATATTCCTGCGGCTGTGGCCGCCGCCCGCTCCCTGCCCTCTTGGGAGGGAGAGGCGGAGCCCTGCCGGGCCGGGGCGGGGCCTCGGGCCGGAGGCGGGGCGGCGAGGGGCGGGGCGGAGGGGGTGAGACCGCCTCGTGAAGGGACTCCCACCCCCGACCTCTGTAAATCAATCTCCTCTAAAGCTCACTGGGTGCGAGGGGTAAAAGAAGGTATGGCGAAGCGACGTGACAGCAGCGCCAACCAATAAAATGAAGCAAGGCCTCAATTTAGGGAATGTCAGCCAATGAAAAGTGAGAATCGCTTTCTTCAGGCTGTGGAGCGGGTAGGTTAAGGCGCTTGAGTTTGGCATGGGGAGGCTATCACTTGGGCGGTTAGTGTTGCTTCATCTTTAATTAATATGACCATATGTAAATATAGGCATTTAACAGTTTTCTGCCCTCTATCCTTGCTGAGCGTCACCTTCAAGGCATTCTAAGATGAAGGAGTTGAGATCAAGATCAATACAGATTTGCAGAGTGAGTTCTGCATTCTTCTAGCAAGGACTCAGCCATTGTTGCTGCCTTCTTCTCATTGCTTTTCCATAGCCCAGAACAGTGAGAAAAATGTGGACTATCATCCCAAGACTTCCTGAAGCTATTCAGCAAGGAAAGCAAGAGAGGAGACAAAGTGAAATGTTGAGATCCCCACAAAAGCGCCTGCTTCTCTTGGTCTTTGTTCTGTGCATTGTTAAGTGCCGTAGAGTCGGTTCCAACTCTTAAAGGGGAGCAACTGATGTGTTTAAACTGCCTACCTTTTGGTTCTCAGTCCAGTGCTGATCCTACAGGACTTCAAAAGTTAGTAGGAAAATGCAAATAAAAGATAATGGATTTTTCCTCACGAACTTTTTGAAGCTCCCTCCTATGTCCGAAAAAATCCTAGAAGTGGTCTCGACATAGTTGGTGTCAAAGTAACCTAAACAAAACCAAGCAAACTTGAATTCTGGTGCAATCTTACTAGTTCACATGTCTTTCCTAGAATTGCATAATTGTGTGTGCCATTGAGTTGGTTCCCACTAATAGTGATCCTATATGACAGAAGTATAGAAGTACCTCACCGGGCTTCCTAACTGTAACATTTATTGGAGTCAATTTCTGGTCTTTTCTTCCAGGGACAAGTGACAGTCTTGCAGATTCTGTTTAGACTGTCAACTTCTGATGAGCTTAACTTTAACCACTGCACCAACAGATCTCCCTCTTGCATAATAGTGATTTCAAATTTATCTTTAAAAAGTTATACCAGGAATACCTAAAATGGGGCTACAATGTGTCCAGTGAAGGAGCTTTCCTGAGGAGCCTCTGCATTACATAAGACTATAGGTAGAAGCCTGAACCACATCCAGATCTTCAGAGACGGGAAATTTTCCACTTGAAAGGACAATCAGACCAGCCTGGAGCAGCTAGAAAACCAGAAGATACTTCTTGAAAGAAAGACCTACAGGAAAAATACAAAACGATAAGGGCATTCCAACTGTTACCACAAGAACACGCTGGTTGCTTGCCCAGGAGACATCAAGGCAAGTGGTCGGGTCCTCTCAGTGCAAATCCTCTTCCAAGACTAAGACGCAAGGGAAATACACGCTTTGATTGGCCACCACGCCGCATGTCACCCATAAGGGGAAGTGACCGAAGAACATCAATGAAGTGGTGAGCTAAGCCCTACATCGTTCAGCAGACTACTGTGAATCCGGGTGGAGACCTGGTTGGCCAGCAGTGAGGCAAGACCTGGGGACTCATGGGCTCAGAGTCCATGACACAGCCACAGAAGACTAGAGTGGAGAGCTAAGCGGCCAGCTGATAAGAAGAGGGCAGACAGATGCAAGAAGGCCCACACTTGCAGATGATACTCACTTGACCTGGCTTCAATGACTGGATGAACAGAGCTCAACCCAAAGAAGAAAGAAGAGGGAAAAAGCATCATCTGATGCTTTTTAATTTGATAAACTTGACCTACACCTACAAATACAGTAACTCAAAAGAGGAAACAAATCCCTGCTGCAAGAATTATTCCCACCCCCTCCACACAAAGAGTAGACAGGGAGGGGCAACTTAGACATTGGCTACCCAAAATGGGGGGAGGGATACAAAGGTAAGAAGCAACTGGTTTACAAGCTTTCAAGAGGGAACCTAGATCCAAAGGGCGTGGAGGAAGGTAGAGTCTCCAGTGAATAGTATCCAGCCTGTCCAGGAAGGGCTGATGAAATGAAATGCAGATGGGTCTTTTGTGATGCAATAGTGAATAATTGTTATCAGGACTGATTGTGAGGGTTGGAAATGTAAAGGTGGACATTTTATAGCAAGGAGGGGAGTGATTAACTTTTCAATCTAGGAGCGGAGGGCCCTGGGACCGTCAATGGAGAAGAGCGGAGAGTGGGACCCTACCCAGAAAAGTAGTGAGGCCTGAGATGGAAGCAGAGAAGATGATGTGAAGAGAGGCTGGGGACTTGAGATCCAAAGAGGGAAAGGGGCTGTGTGCTGAGGACCGTGGGCCTGGGGGAGAGGGTAGACAGGCTTGCAGGGTATACCCTTTGGTTGGGTGATGATGCATGGACGGGATGGTAACTATGGCAGTGAAACAATGTATTATAGAATGAATGTAAAACTAATGTTCTCCCATGTAAACTATCACACAATTTATAATAAAACATTTATTTAAAAAAAAAAAGTTAAAACAAAGTAAAATAGTTCTAAAGTTTATATTTGTCAAAATATAATTTTCAGCAATTTCATTTGCTTCTTGCCCACATCCAAACTTTTGATATCTTTCTTCATTTTTACCTCCTTTCTTGGTTTGGAGGAAATGTTTCTTTCAAGACTATTTACTTTCTTGCTATCTATCTTCTTTGGCTTTCTTCAGCCGTTAATCTCTATACCATACCATCTATACCACAAATCTCCTCCTCTTCAATTGTTTTTTCTACCCCTCAGCATACAAACATAATAAAGTATTCCTCATCCTAAAACAAAACAGAAAAAAACCCCACCTCTCCTTTATGTCTCACCTTCAGATTTTTTATTCCTCCATCATTCTCTTTTTTTCCAAAATCAAGACAGAATGCTCTGTCTTATTTTTCACCTACCAGTTGTTGTTTTACGTGTGCTGTTGAATGGGTTCCAATTCATAGTGACCCTGCTTAGGGTTTTCAGGCTGTAAATCTCTACAGGATCAGAAAATCTCATCTTGCTCTGGTGGAGCAATTGATTGACTCAAACCGCTGACCATAAGCGTAACAGCCACTGCACATAACACTACCAAGGCACCTCAACTACCAGTTTAGTCTTTAACAATCCTCTTAATATATAATAATGACAGTGATTTTGATAAGGTTGCCACTTCCTAATTATCAAATTTCCCTTCTTTAGTTACCATCCTCCTTGGCCTCCCTATATCATCTGTTTTGATTAGATTCTACAGCAGAAAATGGATTGGCTGACCTGACATTCATCCACAATCCTCTCTCTTGTAGCCCCTCTCCAGTTAGAGATGGCCAAGAGGCAGATGTCTGACCAATGAGAAATAAATGGGAGTTTGTGTACAGCTTTACTTTCCTGATAGAAAGAAACTGATACCCTACTGTTGTTCACTTCTCTGTTACTTGTCTTTCCTATATGGGTTTCAGACATGAAGCCTGTAAGTACAGCAACTATCTTGTGATGGTAAATGCAGACCTAAATGCATAGTGGTAGGAGAAAAAGGAAGAAACCCTACACATCTTATTGCAAGACAAATAAATTACTACTTGTGTAAGCCACTGATGTCACATTTTCTTTCTTTCTTTTTTGAAATTGTTTACTGTGAATTGAGTGAAGACTTACAGAGGAGATGATCAGTTTTACATCCAACAACACACACACTTTGTTTCATCTCAATGATTGCAGTCCCGTCCATGTAACAACGGTTATCTCACTTCCTCCTTGTGGTTACTATTTCCATTTCACCCTCTTCCCCAAACCCTCTAAACATTGCCCCCAGGTAAGTGTTGCCCTTTTAATCTTGAATCATTGATCATTCCATGCAGTGCATACCTTACTATTATTGTTAGCCACTCACTCCCTAAATATCTAACCTCTTGATTGAAAATTGGGCCATGATCTCGGGTTCCTCTAGTCTCTTTCTGACCAGTAAGCCCAGTCTTTTTTTTTTTTAAATAATTTTGAGTTTTCTTCCATTCTATCTGGGACTTTTTATTATGATCCCTTTCAGAGCCTTTGGTAGTGGTAGCCAGGCACCATCTAGTTCTTCTCGTCTCCGAATTGTGGAGACTGATGTCTATATGTTCCATTAGTCCCCTGGACTAATTGATTCCAAGCATCTTCAATTTTTATCATTGTTCTTTTTTCCACACATAGAGAGACCAAGAGCTGCAACTTAGATGACTACTCATGAGCTTTTAAGATTCCAGTCATTACTCACCAAAGTAGGATATAGAACAGTATCTTTGTGGACTATGCTCTGCCAATAGACGATGATCCCACATGCAGTAACTTTTTGCCTTGAGGCGTTTGGTAATGCCTAAGAAGTTTTCACCATTTTATCCCTTATGATCCATCACATTAATAGGTGTGTTTGCAGCAAAGGTAATAGTCATGTATAAATATCCTCTGTCAAACCCTTATATATTTGTGGGAATACTCCTACTCTCCGTCCCATACCCGTTCAGATGGTCAGATTTTCTGTAAATACAACACAATCCTTAGCTTTCACAAATGCATTTTCTCCTAGTTTTCTGTTCTTCTTAACTTTCACTGAGTCCTTTTCCTGTCTTCTATTCCTTAAATACTGAAGTTCCTTAGAGATCCATCATTCATCTCTTCCCTTGGGACTTTTTCTGGTGACTTTATCTAGTCTTTGTTGCTAAGTGCTGTAAAGTCAGTTTTGACCCATAGCAACCCTGTATAGGGTTTCCAAGGAGCGGCTGGTGA